TTTTCTTTAAGGGTTGGTATTATTTATATTATTACGATAAAGAAATGGTTGAAGAAGAATGGTACGAAAGTACTAGAATGGTTCCGAAACACACCGAAAAAGAAAACGTAGAAACAGTTTACTCACATACTCATCCTTTTATAAGATATCTTATCAGACAAAGTATTAAAGGAGGAAGAGTTTCTGTTAACGGAAAAGCATTACAGACGAATGAAATGGATGAGATTTGTGCTATTTAAAGGAGTATTTAGAACTCGAGAGTAATAACATAATAGATTTATTTAAAGAATACAGCGCTAGCACGAAAGATAAAACGGAAGTTCATTCGAGACTTAAAAAAATAAAATGTACTAAACTGATGGCATTTGACGCTAACGGTTTGTACGCCTCTGCTATGACAGAAGGTGAATATCCAAAAGCTGAAAGTGCAAGAGCGTTTCTACCAGAAGAATATAAATAATTTCTCAAGCTCTTTAATGAACAGAAATTCAGACCTAGAACTGCTATTTTAAAAGTCTGGTTTGAATATCCTACCAACATGTTCTTCCAACCCATACCAGCTAAAGATAAAATCACTTTTACGAATAGAATAGGTTAAAAGGAAACTGGCACTAAAATCAGGTTCAGAAATGGTTTCTGTCACGACGTTTTAACATCGGTCGATATTCAAGAAATAGTGAAAGCGGGTGGACGAATTATTAAAATATTAGATGGTATAGTTTACGAAGAAAATTTTAAAACTCCACGCTATAGAGATTATATTTTAATTTTGAAGGAATTAAGGAATAAATATAAAAAGGAAGGAGATTTGGTTGCCAGTAACTGTATGAAGTTGTTAGGTAATTCCTTATATGGTAAATCTATTCAGAGGGATAGAAATACCTCATTGCATTTATGGAATGAAGAAACCTTCCGCCTTAATTACGACAAACACGTCAAGAAGTATGACAAACTAAATGATAGTCAATACATTGTGGAGATTAATGACAAAGAAAAAGAGTTTGTTCCTCCAAAGGATTTTACGAGATTAACACCCACTCATTTAGGTACATTTATATTATCTCACAGTAAAAAAATAATGAATAATTTTATTCACGTAATAGATGGTTTTTATAAGCCAGAAATATACTATACGGATACCAATAGTTTATACATTTCGTCTAGCAATTGGGATAAATTAAATGAAGCTGGGTTGGTGTCAGAAAATGAATATTGCAAAGGAAAGAATGATTATGGTGATGGTGGAATCATATTTGGTTTATATTTAGCGCCAAAAGTTAAATACAATATCATTCTAACTTCGGTGTCAATTGCGTAAGTTTTTGTTTTACCTGTTATAATTTTTCACATCATTGTTAGCGTTATTTATCACCTAAATATATATTTTTGCATTTTTTATCATAACTTTCATCTTACTTTATATATCCCCAAACCCAGTTTGACTTATTTGCATAATTTGATCCCCACATTTTCACGCTAGCATATACAGTTTCCTCCTGTTAAATCCGCTGTACATTCCCTTTCTAACCTCAAGTTATTTTCATTATGCTCCCCAACTATAACAACCACTGGCAAGAAGCCAGACATAGAAACACTAATCGTCAACCAAACTTATATCACGTACCCTACAACGGCCCTGTCTTCCATCGACCTCTACCACCTACCAATCGCCGACACCAACCCATCCAGCTATATCCCACCTCATCGCCGACCTACCTACAACACCTACTAATCAAGAGGTAACCATCGACCTGACCAACAACAGAAACGACTACCAGCCCACCGACGCCAACCAGTCCCCACTCATAAGGATGAAGAATCTTTTGTGAAGGTGTTCTTCCAAGTTTTGCAGTGCCTCCATCATTTGGCAATCCTTACCCTTCAACAGAAAGGCCAACCAGCGTTTACCTTCAAACGCAAAGTCTCTGAGTTGGATAGTTTTATCCGTCCAGCAATGAAAACATCAGCTGTTGACGCGAATATTAGATCCCTCAATCGGACATGGCTCTCTAAGGTTACGCAGGTCCTGATCGACCATTACCAAACCACACTTCAAGAGAAGCTGACCACCATTCGTACCAAGTCTTTATCATCACCTGCCTTCGACCGCATTTCTCATGCCCTGTCCTGGGCTAGTCGCTCCTATGGGAAACGTCTCACTCAAGCTGTAATCACCAAGTTTTACCAAACAATCAACGAAACAAATACCAGAGTAACCATATCTCTACCAACTGAAATGGACACTACACCCGCACCATCTAGAGCCACCACGCTGCCGAACCAAACCCCTCAACGAGCCCGAAGTTCGCTTACTCCTAGTCCAGCAGACATAGGTAAACGCTCTCGTAGAGAGGGCACTCCCCTTCTCTTTTCACTTTCAGACTCGTCTTCCCCTTCCACACCATTTGAATCTTCACCACGTGATCCAGGATCCGCCAACCTTTCTTCCTTCTGTGCGTTTTTGGACCAGCAAACCATCCCTCAGTCTCCATCCAAGTCGAGACGTGTATCCAGACCTTCCCCTCCCCCCTCGAACCAGATCCCAGTCCGTTACCAATGCTACAATTCTAACAACTACCGAACCAGTACCAATCACACCGTCGACGACCATAATATCCGCTACCAAACCAAGGACAAATCATTATGGAAGCTACCTGCTCTAAAGAAATCTACCTTAATAATTGGATCATCTAACCTGAATCGAATTACCAAAACCAGTTCAGACACTGAAATACTTTCCTACCCCGGTGCCCAAATCCATCACATACAGAAAATCCTGGAATCATACGTCCATGATCCCAAACCTACTACCACTATTCTTCATGAAGGCCTCAACAACCGTGATCAGCTACCAAAGACCTCCTTTAACCAAACCCAGAAATCAATCGCCACAGCCAACAAAACCTTCCCAAACTCCAAGATCCTCTTCACATGTATACCTTTTTCAAATAAAATCTCGAGGACAGCACAACAGAACCTCAGCACTCTCAACAACATGATGATGGAGTCCAGTATCAACAGCGCAATAATCTTACCACCCTACGAAGAAGAATTCGAACCAGTTGATAATCTTCATTGATCTCCAGAAACAGCAAACAGCATTTATTTGTTTTGGATACACCAGCTTCAAGCATCGAGTAAGTCTTTAAACTAATTACTGGGGATAAAAATACTGAGAAGCCACCGCTAGGCCAAACTGTAGTTAACTTGAGCCGCAAAATTCTCACACCCCTTCAGCATTCAATCTTTGACCGTGGACTAACTTGAATTATCTCCGACCATCCATTGAATGATTTCAACGAAATCTTAGCTGCACATATTTTTTTCGAAACCACCCCCCACGTGGTGCCAGAACAATGTTTATTCCTAAATCCACGTAGACACCCCCTCAGGCCGCCATCCATCCTGAAATATTGAAAGCATTTGCGAGTATGAATAGCCAAACAGCGAATCTTTCCATAACACACGAAAAGCCTAATCTCACACGAGTGGAACGTGAAGCGTTAAACTTACTTAAGAAAGACGATAGCATTGTTATTAAAAAGAGTGACAAAGGTTCATGTTGTGTCATTCTGAATAGGGAGGATTACGTTTCAGAAGCAGAGAATCAACTGAATAATCCTAAACATTATGCCATTTTACCGAAACCAATTTTCAAAGAAACTGCTAACATGATTAACAATATTCTTGCCCATTTAGTCAAAACTAGTTATCTCAAACAGAAACAATATGACTATCTGTCTGCCAAACCTGATTGTCGCGAGAGACATTTGTACACTTTGCCTAAAATCCATAAGAATCCAACCAAGGAGTGGTTTATCTCGAATAAAATCCCTAAAGGCCGCCCGATTATATCTGACTGTGGTAGTGAGTCATATGCAGTGTCAGAATACATTGATCATTTCTTACTACATCTCGCATGTCAACATCGCGTCTACCTTAAAGACACAACCGATTTTGTCAATAAAATAAAAAATCTTCGAGTTCCCTCTAATGCTATTTTAATTTCTATCGACGTTTCTTCTATGTATACCAATATCGATAACACTACTGGTTTAACGGCAGTTCGTAAAGCTTTTAATAGAAACCCAGATCCAAACAGACTCGACGATGCAATTCTACAGCTTTTAGAGATTTGTCTTCGTCGAAACGATTTCACATTTAATGGTAAAACATATTTACAAACTTCAGGGACAGCAATGGGCAAACGATTTGCCCCTTCGTACGCAAACCTTTTCATGGCAGAGTGGCAACGTGAGGTGTTGCCCCTCTGTCCATTAATTCTTTGAAATTCTGAACAACGACCATCCTTCTATCAAACTAACCGCAAATGTGAGTAACAAAAGCATAGACTTTCTCGATACCACAGTCTTTAAGGGAGATTCCATAGCAGAAACAAATAAACTGGATATTAAAGTGTATTTCAAAGAAACTGATACTCATCAACTCTTGCACAAGAGCTCCTTTCACCCAAAACATACCTTTTCTCGTATAATTAAGTCACAAGGTTTACGATTTCATCGAATTTGTACAAGATCTTCTGATTTCAACCAAGCCTGTACGATTGTTTTCTCAAAACTCAAAGAGCGTGGGTACTCTAAACGATTTTTACGAAACATAAAAAATTCCACCTTAGCACAGATAGCAGCTAAAAACAGACTTTATGCCGAAGTACCTCCAGGTTTAAGAAGTGCTCCATGTTTGTCCAGTAGATGCAAAACATGTCCCTTTATATCAGAAACTCATTATTTTGTAAGCAACTCTACGAATAAAAGGTACCCGATCCAGGAACATCTGACATGTGAACATTCCAATGTAATATATTTAATTTCATGCAAGAAATGCCCCAAGCAATATGTAGGAGAAACTAAGAACAATTTACGAACT